ACACACACACACACACACACACACACACAGAGAGATAATGCAGTCACCTGGGTAGGGAAGCAGACGCACTCACAAGCACATTCAAGTGTTTTTAAACTGTACAGTTCACCAGTGTAACCAAACATAACAGCGTCCTCACATGGATGGTAACTCTAAAGGCTTTTGTGCAGAGAATGTACTGAAGCTGGATTTGTAATTCCATTAAGATCTGGTGGCCCTGTGCCCATGCTCATACAACACACCCTAAATAATAGTGATACCATTATTTCATTCACTTTTTGTATTTGTATAATCTGAAATTGCCTTATATAGCTACATCACAAAATTCAAATCTGTTGTAGTTGTAGGGCTGTCACTTTTAAAACGAAATTCACACATTCATTCAAACGTGGGCGGATCGTTCATAATCCAACTGCAATGACGAGTTTAGATTAAAAAATATACAGAGAGAGGTAAAGTAACGACGAACGAACAAATGAAAGGCTGTTTGTCGTCTTTGTACCGTACAACTGCCGTACTCTTCCACTAAAGCAAATCTGTGGGTTCAACTGTTAACTTTCCACCGAAGGGAGGCAGCGGAGGGGGCAACACAGACAAGCAGAGCAACTTCAAGTGTTCAACCTCGTCTGACTGCATGAGTTTGGCATTTCGTCCAGCGCCATCTTGGCTTTGAGAAACCAGAAGTGACAGAAAACACAAGAACGAGTGCACGCCTACTTGCATGTTGTGCTCAAAATATGATCATGTTCTCATAGACTTAAAAACATCTTTTTCTTGCAACCATTGGAGTCGCCCTCTCCTGGTCTTTCAAGAGAATACAGGTTTCAGACACTTCAGCATTGGCTTCACTTTCTGGATCCTGAGTTCACGTCCAGTTTTATGCAGTCTATGTTAAACACTAAGGCCAAGCAAGGATTTTAACTCTGCGATAGAAATAATCTCCATCCATAACAACACACCTGGAAATCCAAATGACCTGACCATTCACACACACAGGTCATGTGCACGGTTAGCATTACAGAGCCTCCAGCTAGCAGGCGTGCACTTATACATTCTCACATGTACACACACACAGCTGCACATGTGCACATGCTCACTAACATGTCTACCAGGTGCAGAGTCTGCAATTGTATTTTGAGCAGTGTTGAAACATACAACCTGTGATTTACAGACCTAAAGGCAGAACAGAGCGAAGGGAGGACGGAGGACAGAGAGAAGTGGTGTTGGAAAGGATGAATTAGTATAATTTATAAATATATGTATGTGCTTTATGTGTGCATGTGTGTATGTGTGCACATGGCAATGATGGTCAGCCAAGCAGAAAAGACCACCCACGTCACGTCACTCTCACCTTTGACCCCCTCACCCAAACTCCGCTGAATGGCTCTCTAATGGAGGCCAGACTTTGAGTGTATGTTTGTGTGTTTCCACGTGCACTCATACTCAGTCGCATGTGTCCATCTGTATGTGCAAGAGAGTGACAGAGAGAGGAAAGAGGGAAGGAGAGAGAGAGAGAGAGAGTTTGTGAGTACAAAGAAAAACCAACTCCAGAAAGTGGAGGAAGTTTACACAGCCGACACTGCAGAGCTCCAGGAGCTGCTCTATTTATAAAGACAGCAAACCCTCACTATATGTGTGTGTGTTCGTGTACACAAGAGTTCGTTTTCATGTGCTGTTTGTGTTTGCGTGAGTGCACTTTAGCATGTGCACAGCCATGTGTGTGTGTCCGTGCATGTGTGTGTGTTAAAATTAATAAATACACACAATTGAAGGCTTCCTGTTATTTGGTGGTGAGGCCAGAGGAAGTTATTTTGTGGTACACTGATAATTTTGGTCAGAACACCGGGCTATAAATACTGTCAGCGCTACGCACTCCATCCCGCCTTCCACTCCTCGCTCCATCCCTCCCAGAAATGAAAAACTGGTGTGCTGCAGGAAAACAAGGGCAAAACAAGCAGGCAGGGAGTTGTTTTTAGATTTCTTCCAGCTTCCCCCTCTCCAGCTGTGGGGTCAAGTTTATCGGAATATACAGACTTTACGTGTCCAAAAGGTTTTTAATATGCAAACACAGTTCCCATGTGACCAGGAATCTACAGGTTTGTATAAGTATACTAGAAAGTTTGATGTTGGCCTACATGCAAGTTTTCAGGTGGTGGTGATGGTTGTTCGCCGAGAGATTCGGCCATTGTGGGTTTTAAAAGTCAAGAGGGTTCTAAAAGGCCGTCTGACGCTGCTTCTCCAGGGCAGACGGGAGGCTGGGATAGTGACTTGCTATCCGGACGTGACAGACTGGGGCTAGCTGGTTAGCATGCTTACGCCAGTAGAAGCAAAGAAGCTACATAAATGAAAACTGAAGTTAGCACAGCTGAGACAGCTTTAGGTGAAAGGATTTGTTTTTAATTAATTTGTTTCTTCTAGTTTGTCAAGTAAACCGCTAACATTAGCTATGTAGCAATAGCATAAACTTATATTTCGCCCTTTTAACCCTTTATAAAGCAAATGCTGATTCCTAGTATTTGAAAAATGAATTTAACCATTATTCTTAAAACGTGATCATGAATCCAATTTTAAACACAAAATCCAGTGCTCTACACTGAAGGATGAGGCAGATAAAGGCACAGAGTTTCACTGGGTCACATGTTCCTTCATTTCAAAGTTCTTGTTAATTTTAAGTCAATTTCACATTTATAATTCTGATACCATAAATACTCACCACTTAATTAATTCACCACAAATCTAGTGCCCTACTAAAGCCCATTTACTACAGTTTAAGTGATATTTGCACAAAAAAAAGTACAGTAGGGATATTACTTAGCTTCTAATTTAAAATTTAATGATAAATCTATGGTCCTTTAACATATGACAAGAATTAATCTCAAAATGAGAAGAGATGATTTATGTCAGATTTAGCTATCAGCTAATTTCCACACATTAAAACTAAAACCCAAAACACCCCAAATACAAAAACATTAATTTACATACAACACCATCAAAGTCTCTGTCACAGTTAAATATACAAATCTACGAGTGCACACCAACATCTACAGCATGTTCATTCATTAATCTTCATCATGAATAGGAACAAACGGCCTTGAGGTCACAGACATGCCAGTCAAAAATAGAGTGAATGAACAAAACCAACGCATTTTTTGGTTCCTCAAGATAGTTGACAGTGAGAAAAGTATAAAGTTAATTGTGTCAGTGTTATGCTTGAAGGGGAAACCAAACAACTTAAACAATTGTAAAGAAAAAGTAGACGTTCTGCAAGTGGTTGTCAAATACCCTCATATTTTGTGGTTTTACGGTCATAACGACTTTGACCCTACAAGTTGTGAAATATTGGAAGGCATGCAACACACGAACATGATCACAAACCATGAATGTAAACTCCCAAAGAGACACACACATGTATACACACTGTGACGAGGCCTAATACGCAGGCACACACACTAACATGGCAGTCAAAGACGTATGTGGTCACTGCATGAGGCATGCCAGGAAATTCTTTCAAGGGCATGTTAATATTCCAGATGCTTTTGAATAAAAACAAGCCCCCAAATCAGAGAGCGGAAATTTGATTTGACGCAGTTCTGCATGGCGATACAGAGATGTTTATCCGTCCCTGCCTATCTCTGTAGCCGGATGGCCGAGTGGCCACTTAGTGTTTACCTATGATAAGGGCTTTCTGTTTGACTACCAGTTAAGCTGCAGTCAACAGAGAGGCCACAGTGGGGAACGTAGTATTTATAAAAACCTAATTGTTGCTCTTAGAGATTCAGCTGAGTCTGGCTTGGAGCTCCAGGCCCGGGTCAAACAGGGTGGGATGATAGTTACTGTGATTTCTTTTATGGCACTTTGGCAAAGAATAGGTGGAGCGTGTGCTGTGCAGGACCACACAAGAAATGAAAGAAAGTTTAGAAAAAGTTCAACATGAAGCTTTAACTTTGTAACCCTTACATCTTAAATCACATTCTACAAACGGATCAATGTATATATAACAACTACTGTTTGATGATGTAAACAAAGGATAAGCACATAACTGCACAAGAGAATCGTGTTGTGTCCTGTTTGTAAAAGTGAAACACAGAGTTTGTGTGAAACTTCAGTTTGTTTTATTTTGTGACATTAAGACCAAATGGGTTGAATTGCTCATCACAGTACTGACACAATTAAAAGCAGGAAACTTGAAAGTATCTCTCCATAAAAAAACAGGTATTTATAGTTTGTCCACCATCAATGAGGGGAGGCTGAATAACAAACATCTTGATATAATTCAGTGCAGTTCAACAGCGACACAAACTACATGCTCTAAAATGATCGTGACAACAGACGTTAATGAGGGTAGGTTTTATTGCAGGACTCTTGTATTGCTTTAACTAAGTGAATCTAATAAACACATGCAACTGTTGTAAGATATATAATCACTATACTGATCGTATTTACAGCACTTAACTGTCTGTGCTCCAGCTCCTATCCCAACTGTTTATCTGTGTTTACTAATTCCCAGACTCAAACATTGAAATATATTTTTTTCCAGTCAATGTCTGTTCCTCTTCCTCTTCCTCAGTCATAATTGACAAGTGTTCACTGTGTGATTATCGTTCCTCTCAATCACTCCCTGGTTTGTTATGGGACTTTATCCGCAGGCAATATCCGAACTCGCCATTTACCCATCACATAATGTGCCTCATTCAGCTGAGGACATCTTGATTGGGTCGGCTAAACGTCTGGTTCTCATTTAGGATGGAGGATGGGTCGGAGAGAGAGAGAAAGGGAGGAGGTTAGACGGGGAGAGGAGGACACAATGAGAGAGGTGAGGGGAAAATAAGAGATGACTGCCTGCCAAACAAAATAAGCAAAGAAAATGACTGATGGTTTTTTCTGGAGTAAAGTTGGCATCTCCTGGTGAACTTGGGTCTCTTATGAGCTACGAAACTGATCTGGGGCGATACACTGCGGCACAGAATGTGTATCGATTTTACTTATTTACATTGCAAAGAAAAGAAGTTTACCCTAGTTTCCCTGGGCGATTATGATAAACTCTGATAACCTACTGTCCAGGGGAAAGACCTTGTGACAAACATCCGACAGATTCGAGTATGAGTTGGTTCCCTCTGGAATATCCCTGAAAGACCTGCATGTAAACCTTTCAAGATGCAACCTAGCAAATATTTCCCAGGACCCAATGCACCTCCACTATCTTACTACATTCACCATATGTTTTTGTAAATTCTTCTATCTTACACACATGCTGCCATGGGGTCTGTGCACATCACTTATGAAAAGTGGGGGTCTCTTATCCTATTCGTCTGCTCTAAAAAGATTATTTGACATATTGGGAAATGATTAGTCACTCACATCTCAGTTAAACACGAAGCTAAAGGGGTGGATAGCCTAACTTAGCATAAATACTGGAATTGGTGGGAGAGAGTAAGCAAGGCTCTGTCTGGCGAGGTCGTTAAGCAAAACATTCACTAAAGGGGAACGCGGCGTCTAGAGATTCTGACGATAAACATGGCGATGATGGAGGTGGTGGCGATAGACTCAAAAGCAGCCACGTTGCAAACTGTCTGGTTCTGTTTCTTCTCATACCTTACTTATAAATAAACGGAATAAAAAAACAGCCATCACCATCTCCCAGAGTCAATCTAAAGTCCAAAATCCAAACCTATTCAGTCAAAGATAACAGGAGCAAAAAGCACCAAATCGTCACATTTGAGTGGATGGGTCCAGAAAATGTTTGGTATCTAGCATGTTAAGGGAGTTAAGGATTCATTGAGCCATGAGGATTGTTGTCAGTGTAATTCGGGCACGACTTCAAGCGTTGTTGCATCAGAAAATGGTGGTGTCACGTTCACATGTCTGCAACCTCACAAACACACCCGCCACACACACAAATATATATTCTGTCACACACTAGTCTGCTCTGAAAAGACATTAAATCTAACCCTCACTCTTAAAGAGTATATTTATGTGTGAAGCTAATTCTGTAAAAATGTGTGCACACACACACTGACTGGGCATGTTTATGTGACAGTGTAGAGTTCATGTAAGAGATAAGGGACGGTAGAGTCAACAGTTCTTTAGATAGCCTGCTGATAGAGTGTTCTCTTGCTTCCGCTGCCCTTTGTTTACCTAATGAGAGTGTGTGTGTGTGTGTGTGTGTGTGTGTGTGTGTGTGTGTGTGTGTGTGTGTGTGTGTGTGTGACCACCAGAGGACTGTACCACAAAACAAGTTCAGCTAAGTCTGCCTCCCCAATGGTTGTGCTCTGTCGTCACTGCTCTAAACATCGGCCTTCCTGGATAACACCAGTATCACAGAGCTGCGTATCAACTGGTTCAGGTAACATTAGGTTTAACCTGGTTAGCTATAAGCATATATACTGGAATTGTTAATGAGAAGCCACACTGCCAGAACTAGGAATTAATTCCTGAATAAAAAGGTGGAGATGGCTACTGGTGAAATTGATTATAGTGACAGCAGAAAGAGCTTTCCAATGTTAAACCTAAATACCATGATCACATAACTAGATTATAATAAGGGGGTGTAGAAATACTGAGCATCTTCACGTCTACAGCCAAGTTCCTTCAACTCTTCCTGGATCACCATGAGATGGATGACTGATAATCTCTCCCAGTATAAACAGAAATAGATATAGACATATCAATTTCTTTGTTTTCACCTTATTCTTACCTCTTTTGTCTACGTTGGGATCCAGAAGGTTGTCTGAGCAGTCAATAGTCAAACTGTCAACTGGTCAGCTGAGCAGCACGGGTTACCATGGTGATCTACCCTAATTAGCATTGGAAAAAAAGTTTGTCAGGATCACAGTTAGGGGAATGCAGGCATTTAACTGACAAGAAACCTGATCCAAAATGGAGCTAGTTATTGGAACCCAAACCTCATCAAGTGTTTAACACATCTAGTCTTGGGCCTCAGGTCACTTTTGATTTTTGTTGTATTATTTAATTCATCTGTGCCAACTTTAAGTACTTTATTACAAGAGCAGATATTGTTGGAAAAACAAAATGACTGTATGACACTGTATGCCATCATGGCCACTGTTCTTTCTGTTACTGGACGTTATTCTGAGCAGAGTTTGAGCAAATACAGTTAAGAACAACAGGTGAGATTCATCAGCTACGAGGAAGAGCTCCAGCAAAGTGTGATAAAGACAGACAGGCCGTTGTCGTACTTTTCTCTCTGCAGTTTCCGATTGGACCCAGAGCGAAGGAGTCAAGCATCAGCGGAGGAAATTGGGAATGTGAAACATGCCAGATTACAGAAGAAAACTGAGGGCCTGCAGATAAGCTCAATAGCTTCAACCCTGGGAAAAAACATGCACTCAGGCAAACACACATAGACACAAACATACTTGTGCACATACACACATTCTCACAACTGCAAAAGCCATTTCAGATTTTGAACCACCTGCTGCATTCCACAGCCAATAAGTCAGCTACTTAAGGAGCCAGCTTTTAATCAGCCGGTCAAACAGCCGGGCAATAAAGACACAAGGCTTCCTGATAGTTAATCAACAAGTCAACTAACCAGTTATTATCCTGGGAGTTACTGCTAAAATAATCTGCAAGTAAGCAGCCATTTGAAATGGCAACAAGCAAGGCTGCACTAAACAGCAACATACAGCTCAATATTAACCATGAGACTCTCATGTACAAGGATAGATTCCAGCAGACGACAGTGGAGTTTTGTAGTGATCCTGCAGATGCGAGCGGAGCACTGGCAGGCCTGTCAGGTGGCCGGCCAGCCACCCACACATCCAGCCAGCCAGGACAGGACAAGAGCAGAGGAAGCAGTCATTATGGAGGAAGCCAGGGCGTCTTAAAGCCATTATATGCCCCTCAGAGGCAGAGGCAGTCGGAGGCAACACGGCTGACTGGAGCGCTTCAAAGCAGGAAGGATCTCAGCCACCACCACCTCCACCGAGTCTGAATGTTCAAGAGGAAGGGAGGAGTTTACAGGGTGAGATGGAGGTAACATGGCAGGCAGATTGAGAAGAGATGCAAGGGTATATGAAGGGAAGGGATGATTTTGTAGGACCTTTTTTATTTTAGCTCAATATGTGGTTTTGTGTAGGTTTAACTGCGTCTAGCTTCAGTTTTATCTGCCAACATCGCAGAACAAAGGAGGGGAATGGATCTGGTGCTCACAACATTGAACATAAAAGGGACTACTTTCTGATTAATTCATATTTTTATAGTAAAAAAGGGTGAAACGATTCATGTAAAGTGATGAACTCCGAGAGAACGATCCCACAGCTGTTGCTCCACACAGGTCTGAAGTGCTTTAGCACATTTTTGTGTCACCTCCAGAGCAAGATGAGGATGAAAATGCAGATGACACATTAAATTTGACTTACGAATAGAGTAGAAATGTATCCAAAGTTTAGGGTAGGAGTGGCATCCAAATTAAAATCTTAAAGCATGGTCAAAAAAGTGTTGGTCACAAGGAGGACACAGAGAAACTGAAGAGATGGATGGGCAAAGAGACACACTGGGATTAAATACAGGAGTCAACGAGACACAGGTGAAGCTAGTGAGGGCAGATCAGGTGATCAACAGAGGAGGGAACCAGACAAATGCAGGAAGTAAAGTAAGAGAGAAACACAAGGAGAGAATTTTCAAAATAAACCAGGAAATGTGCCAACAAAGACAAATCCAAATATACAAAACAAAGTCCAAACACATGGAGACTGTGAGTCGGTTATGTATTGTAGTGTAGTGTCCACTGGATGTGGAGTTTAAAACATGACAAGATAAGATATAAAACATATCCACACGTTGATATATTGATCTACAGATCTCAGTTGTTACAGCAGCTGACAAGTCAGAGGTAGACAAGAGAATCAAGAAATATAAAAAGGAATAGAAGCAATAGTATAAAATAAGAACATTTAAATTAAATTAAAAGATGCAGGGTATATACATTACATAGACCTTTTAACTGTATTGGTTTGTATGACATGTTATATATGCAGTGGCACAGGATGATTGTGTGAGAAAATCTGTTCTACATAGGAAAACACATTTGTGCATAAACACAAAGTTGCAAGAAGTTATTTATATGTCAAGGTTATGTTTACAGATTGTTCCTCTGCCCCAGTTTAAATAGTTGAAAATGTTTCTATCTCATTCCATGACAGTAAAAAGACAGACGGCTGCTCTGGACTAGAATAAAAGACTGGATTTTTCTTTTAAAACAATGTGGCCTCCAGTGCTACAGCAAAACATCCACAGGTGCTGCGTGCGTCTTTGTGGCATTTACACCTGAGCTGCAAAAACAACCCAGAGATCAAATTCATCATTTTTTTGTAATTCCGGAGACTGTCTTCCCAAAACAACGCAGAAACTGAAGTAGTATTCTGTTTTAGAACTGAACACAACCGTTGGAATACTGGAATGATTTTTGTTCTTTTTATTCCAAGAATTAAATTGGAGAAGCAGGGATAGAGATGATGTAAAGCGATGATTGTTGTGGGATGGGACGGAAGGAAAAGACGGTGGTGAGTTCTTGCAGAGCGTAAGGACGGAAAGCAGTGGGTGAAGAATGGAGAAAAGAGGTTTTCATGGAAGAGAAAATGGCTTGGCTGTAGAATAGTAAAACCATAAACAAGAAGAATAGTTGAACTGTTGAAGGCTTTTGGAACAACGCGGTAGAGAAACAGACCACTTCCTGTCCCATTTCCAAAATAAAACAATGTTCTACAAAATATTAAGGATATTTTTCAATATCCAATGTCATCACAATAATTTGAATTATTTCCAAAAGGTTTGGTAATAATTCTTCCTTTCCTGGGGTATTGTCTTCTTCTCCAATAATCTCATCATCCTTACCTCTTTTTGTTGGTTTTTCCATGCCCACTTCCCTTCGCTCTCTAATTTCTGAGACCGTCCTACCATAAATATGTAGCCGCAGAGGTCGTTTGTGGAAGCAGCTTATTACAACCCATAGTTATGTTTTATTGTAACTATGACTACCGGTTGTGTGAGACAGTTGACATCAGTTGTTTCAGCAAACGCCCCAAACCAGGGAAGGAGGTCGGGGTAGATTGATGAGTCCATGACGACGAAGAAAGTCCTCAAAGCACAGAGTTACTTATGGTAACCTTGATGTCTCCCTAGGGTTAAACACAACGTTCTGAATGAGTTCTACGAGGGGCCATGAGTGTTAAAGTCATTAAAACCATGATTGATTTGTGAAAATCAATGTACCATAAAAGGAATAAATGAAAGGGTCAATAAAATAATTTCATGAAGGAAGGTTTAAAAAAGCACAGGTAAAGATTTTGTACAGCCTCTTCTCCGACTGTTAAATAAAGAAAGCTGAGGCATAATATGACAATCTATGATAAACAATAATAAATGAGTTAAAAATAAAATGGACAAGAGAAATATATGCAGGATAAGTGTCGATTAAGCCCATCTGACATCTAACCCACAACACGGTCGAGTTAAGTGCTAAAATCAATGTGCTGAAAAAAATATTCTTTTTTGAAACATAAGTGCTCTAAATCTCCATCTCTCTCCTTCACACCTCCCGTATCTTTCTCCCTTCTGTTTTTCTTTTTTAAATTCTGTTACGTTTACTACTTCACCCCTCCCTTCCGTCCAAAGCAGCCTCCTCCTCCTCCTCCTCTTCTCTCCAGCACCTGTGCCCCTGCGGAGGGGGAGTTCCGGAGAAGAGGAAACCCCCAGGGCAGCCAGGCACCTCACAGATGGTTAGCAAATTACACCTTCATTACCTCTCCTCTCCTCTTCCTCTCTTCCTCTGGCCACTGCCTCACAATGACTCGTTGTTCCTGTGGCACTTCACATCTGTCAGCCGCTGACCTGTCTGCTCATAAAAGTAGCACGTATTTGGAAAATTTAAAGCTAAAAATTAAAGCTCAACGGTGCTTGTTTCTTACGTTCTGAAGATTTTTTGATGAATGAATAGTCGTAATATTAGATAATAAATAGATAAATTTAACCAATGTCAGCCAGGTGATGTACAAGAACAATGAACTTTCTTTTGGCTCCCTCCGTTGGTTTCGGGCTAATTTTCCAACAACATCTTCACACATCGTTCGCTGCTGGACTGGAAAGTGAACACGTCTGATAGAAGGCTGCTCATGGGAGCTATAAAATGGAGCACTAATCGTGATTCATTGTGGTCTAATATATAACCCAACATCAGCCTGCGAAGCCTGTTATTTCATACAGATAAATGATGTGTTCAAAATAAAAGTTCCAAAGCTTCTAAGACAAATTCAGCACAACACAGAAGAGAAAGTAGCAGATTCTGGGGCCACAATTTACAACACCCATGAACAATTTCTGATTCAGTAATCTGCACATTTGTTTTAGTAAAGTCCACATCATTGAATATATTTGATTTGTTCCAGCACATTGTGCACAATCTTAGAAAAATAAGAATTCTTAATTGTCATATTTATTGTTAGTATTCCTAGCAATGTTTTAGCTAAAGTTAAAGATCAACATACTCAAGTTCATCATTTAAATTTAAGTTATTTGCCAAGGTTCAGAAAACACGTCAAATGGCATATGTCTCCTTTAAAACTCTGCTTTTCTGCCAAAATCAGTGAAACCACAACCTGGAGGTCACCAAGAGGTCAAGTACAAACCTCCTCAGTGCTGTGAAAAACATTATGGAGCTGGTCAAAGAAAGGGTTTATCTTATAAATACAATCTACTCACTACATCCTAGCATAGTGACTAACAAACCTGCACAATAAGAAACGCTATGTATTCACAGACTCTCCACGTTGTTTGGGTTGCAGACAGTGTGTAGGTTACCAGCTGCTTGTTAATTTGTAATGACCACGGACTGACTCACACACCCTGTATCTTATTTCCATGCCTCCTCCTGCCCAGCGGGAAAGCACGGGGCCCAGTGCACCCATTAGTCAAGCTGAGGAAGGCATGGAATAATAATGAACGCACCTCACATGCATGAGCAACTAAAGCCCCCTCCCCACCACCCCGCAGCCGCCGCCGCCACAACGCTCAACAGATCTGTCCATCCTCTATCCAGCCAGGAGACTTTCTGTTTTCTGCACGATGACGTGGACCAACTGAAATGGCAGAAAAAACAGACTTTACTTCACATCATGTCGCCATCATTATTGATCTGTAGTTGTCATCAGCATCATGAATCATCACAGTCACGTCACTGTATAGTTTTACATTTGGTTTGCTCATCTTCCTACTGGATTTTTTTTCATACATCTCTTGTCTTTGGTCAAAGCCTCTCACCTTTTTTTTTTTTTACATACTTGTTTTCCACTGTTGTATGGTTGTGTAACTTTATTTTATCACTGTTGAACAAACAAACTCATCAGACCAGTTCCGTAGCTACAGGCAGTAAACTGTCTCAACAGCCTCCAGCCCTGCAGTCTTTTCCCATGTCATGCCGAGCTGCATGCTGCGTCTGGCTTTTCCTCATGTTGAGTCTGGCTTCTTGGATCAAATGTAAAAGAACTGTCAGGAGAGCAGCCGGCAGTGAAGGAATTTTTAAATGCAAGCCAGAAAGTCTTATCTGTAAGCTGGCTTTTGATTATGAATAGTTTATAGACATTATTTCATTGCATCTCGTTTGAAATTTTATTCAATAATATCTGCTGTTAATTTGTGTATTTGACTTTTTTGCTGTATTTATTGTAATTTAAAAAAAAGGTTTTATTGTTGTAGCTTTTAAAATCTATTTAATGGTATTTCAATGTCAGAATTAGCAATTGCTTTGTTTGCTTTCCATTTTCTATTTATTATTTTTATTTTTATTATCATTATTATCTACTCGTAGCTTCGAGGTAGAGGCATGAATTGGGCTTTGAGTGGTGTCCCTGGAAACTTTGGAATCTCCACTGGAATTTATAATTTAAGTTTTATGGGCTCTGACAATGTTTAACTGCTTGGTGGGGGGGTTCAGGTTAAGAGGTTAAAAATCTCCCTCATTACCTGCATCATAAGAGAGAGAGAGACGTCAGGGACAGACATGGAGGAGACAAAGTGATGACACAGAGGCGGTGGAGCAAATGTGGAGGCAGACAGGAAGATGGAGATAAAGGGGAGGGAGAACCCACAGCAGGCCTCAAGTCCTCGGCTGCTGCTGCTGCAGTGGAGTGACAATGAGAGAGAGGAGAGAGAATGAGTCATACACAGACCCCTCCCTCTCTCTCCTTTGAGCCCCCCCACCCCCGACAATGAAGCTGGGTTACGTCGATCCTGACTCATTCATTCACAGCCGAGACGCGAGCCTACTTTTGTTACACAGATGAAATCGAGCATCTTAAGAGGCCGTCAGAGCTCTTATTATAGTGCTCTGACATACATTGCTGCACTGGATCCCTGAGCCCCATTCATAAAAAAAATTCTCCAGTCTGCCAGTACGTGCAGAGGAAGACACACACACACACACACACACACA